GTCTATGTACAGAGGAATAAACTGTACAACTAATACCCAACTAACTAGGACAAAATTACAATATAGTCCTAATACTCCCCTCAAGATGGACAATGAAGATTAACAATGCCCATCTTGGACAACAAAACAGAAAACGAYGAGAAAGGTAAGGCCTTAGTGAATATATCAACAAGCTGGAGATGAGTTCTGATGGGTAGAAGTTTAAGCGAACCATCAAGAACCTTGTCCCGCACAAAGTGGCAATCCAGCTCAATGTGTTTTGTACGTTCATGAAAAATCGGGTTGGTGGCAATATGTACAGCAGCAGTATTATCACAGAAAAGAACAGCAGGCGAAGACTCACGAATCTGCAAGTCACGAAGTAAAGACTGCACCCACACGATTTCACTAGCAGCAACAGCCATAGCCCTGTACTCCGCCTCAGCTGAAGAACGAGCAACAGTAGCCTGCTTTTTGGACTTCCAAGAGATAAGAGAAGTACCAAGAAATATACAAAAACCTGAAACAGAACRACGGGAGTCTAAACAAGCACCCCAGTCAGAATCAGTGAACGCACGTATATGAAAAGAAGTAGTAGGTTGAAGCAAAATGCCTTGACCAGAAGTTCCTTTYAAATAACGCAACAGATAGTAAGCAGCATTCAAGTGTGACTGACAAGGACGAGCYACATATTRACTCAATTTATGCACARCAAAAGTAATGTCAGGCYGAGATACTGTAAGATAAAGAAGTCGCSCAATTAAACGACGATAAGAAGTAGAATCAGCAAGCACAGCACCATCATCAGCACATAAACGAACATTCGGATCCAYAGGGACCAAAGCAKGCCTACAACCGAGGAAACCAGTGTCTTCAAGAATATGAAGAACATAGTTGCGCTGAGAAAGAAAAATGCCTTGAGCAGAACGCGCTAATTCCAATCCGAGGAAATATCGAAGGGATCCCAGATCCTTTAACCGAAAGGTAGCATCAAGATGCTTCTTAAGAACAACAATATCAGATGMGGAAGCTYCAGTAATGATTATATCATCCACATAAACTAGAAGCGCKATAAAACGACGRCCTTGACCACGAACAAACAAAGAATAATCAGACTTTGTTTGAACAAAACCCAAAACAAGCAAAGCATGYGAAAACTTATCAAACCATTGACRAGAGGCMTGTTTTAATCCATATATGGATTTGTGAAGTTTACAAACAAGGCGCTCCCCSTGAGAAGCAACCAYAKAATGCTTATAACCGAGAGGGATATCCATGTAAACATCTTMAAAAAGATCTCCATGTAGAAACGCATTGTTAACATCAAGTTGAACTAGGGGCCAATTAAAAGAAAYAGCCATTGTCAAAATAACTTTTACAGTAACCAATTTGGCAACCGGAGAGAAAGTTTCGATATAATCCAACCCTTCCTGTTGAGTATATYCTTTTGCGACAAGGCGCGCCTTATACCGTTCAATAGTCCCATCAGATTTATGYTTTATCTTATACACYCATTTACAGCCAATAYTATGAGAATGAGAAGGCAATGGAACAACAGTCCATGTTTTGTTTGCTTCCATAGCYTGCAATTCARCATGCATAGCCTCACGCCAATGAGCATGAGGAACCGCTTGATGATAAAATTGGGGTTYAGTATGTAAGGAAACATTCAGGKYAAAAGACCTATAGGTAGGAGAAAGGCTAWTATATGAAATAAAATGGTGTAGAGGATGGCTAGTAGAAGACTGTGGTATAGGCTCAGCATTAAGAAGACTACAATGATAGTCTTTCAAGTATGTTGGCGGCTTGATAGATCTTGAAGACCGACGAGGCACAACTAAACTGGAAGAAACCGGGACATTAGCACCAGGGATGGAAGGCAAATCAGTAGCTACAATAGACGATTCTCCTGTATTAACAACATCAACAGTGGAGGCCTCGATTGGAGCASAACCATTCGGTGATAAAACACCAGTACCACCATCASAAACACCAATATCAGGAGAAACATCAKGGRTAACAGGAGATGCATCAGATGAAGAACCAACCGAGGTTATAGGACCTTGCCCAGAAAAATCAAACGACTTGGGAAGAACCAAGTGAGGAAAAGGGTCYTCTATGTCAGTATGAAGAKTAACTTCATGGAAAGGGAAAATATGTTCATAKAAAGTGACATCCCTTGAGATAAAAAACTTCTTCTGAACTATATCAAATAAACGGAAAGCCTTCATCCCTGGAGGATAACCAACAAATATAGCAGGAGTGGCTCGTGGACAAAACTTAGAAYGTCCTGACGAGAGTGTGGAAGCAAAACATAAGGATCCAAACACTCGAAGATGAGAATAATCAGGATCTTTATGAAATAGACGATGATAAGGAGTCTGCCAAGAAATAACAGGTGATGGAGTCCGATTGATTAAAAAAGCTGCTGTCAAAATACAATCACCCCAAAAAGAAAGAGGCACTCTAGACTGAAAATACAGGGATCGAGCCACATTGAGCAAGTGCTGATGTTTTCTTTCAACAACCGAGTTCTGTTCAGGGCGAGCAACACAAGAAAATTGATGTATGACGYCCTTAGAAGCAAAAAACTCAGTAAACGAAAGTTCTGGAGCATTATCCGACCGAAACTGCTTGATAGTAGCACCAAATTGATTTTCAACATATTTAAAAAACTGGGGAATGAGCCTAAGAACGTCAGACTTTTGCCTCAACATAAAAATCCATGTGTATCGAGAATGATCATCAACTAAGGTGAGAAAATACTTATAACCAGAATATGTAGGCTCACGAAATGGCCCCCAAATATCACAATGAAGTAAATCAAAAGGCATATYAGCTATATGATTGTGAGCATGAAAAGATAACYGTTTCTGCTTTGATAAAGGACAAATAACACATGATCGCAGAGAAGAAACACGAGAAGCATCAATAGGTAAGATATCCTTTAATGCTAACATGTGWTTATCAGAAGGGTGGCCAAGTCTATCATGCCACTTAYTAAAATCAGAAACAGAATTTACACTACAGACAGGCAACAAATCATGTTCTAGCAAATTGGAATGAGCAAACCGAGAAGCATCTGCACGCAGAAGATATAAACCATTCCAGWGCTCAGCCTTGCCAATCGTCTTCAAAGAGGACTTGGCCTGGATGAGACATGTATTAGCATTAAACTGAACATTAACATCCAAGTTAGCAGCCAAGGCACTCACAGAGAGCAGGTTGAACCGAAAAGAAGGTATATACAACACTCTCTTAAGAGTAATGTGTTGATTAATCTGAATATCTCCAATAAACTCAACATKAATCCGAGAATTATTTGGCAAAGTGACTGAAATACTAGATATAGGCAGCAGAGAAGTAAACATATCACGAGAAAAACAGATATGCGATGATGCCCCTGAGTCAAGAACCCAACAATAAGACCAAGGAACTTGATTAACAAGGGAGCAAGTACCTGCCACATGACTGGAAGAAGAGGCACCAGAATCGGATGTTGGCTTCATGGATGCCAAATGAGACTGCAGAAAAGTCAAAAGCCCTTGGAAYTGATCAGCAYTGTAATTACTCAACGAATCAGCATTGGACGAAGAAGCAACTGAAGAAGTARTTGCCGACTGATTTGTGGCATCGATGGGCGATTTCGAAGAAGAATTGRTACTCTTCGAAGTAGAACGAAAACCGGGAGGATAACCATGTAGTTTATAACATCTATCAACTGTGTGACCCTGGAGATGACAGTGAGTACAATAAGGCCTCTCTTTTCGGCGAGGTTGTGACGAAGCACGAGTATTGTTCGAAGAGGCTGAGGTGCGCGCCAAAAAGGCTGCAGGAATTGAAGAAGCAAAAGCAGATGAAGCAGTAGCAAGAGAAGTTCGTTGTTCAACCTCTTGAGCAACCAACGAAAAAGCACGATTAATAGTCGRTTCAGGCTCCATGAGCAAGAGTTGAGCACGAACCTGATTAAACGACTCATTTAAGCCCATCAAGAAAGCCATGACATACTCGGTTTGAAAGTAATTGATCAAATGTTTGACGCCGCCGCAAGTACACCGTCCACATGAACAAGAAGGACGATATGAAACAAGTTCGTTCCACAGCGTCTTCAATTTCGTGTAATACGCGCTCAGAGATAGTTGATCTTGAGACAGATTGGATAATTCACGCCGCAATTGAAAAATYCGAGGCCTATTCTTGCGTTGATAGCGCTCTTGAAGATCAAGCCAGATCTCCCTAGYCGAATCGGAAAACAATACGCTCRCAGAAATTTCTTTAGAAAGAGAATTAAGGAGCCAAGCAATTACAACATTGTTGCAGATCTTCCAAGAATTGAGTTGAGCACCAGAAGGACGAGGAAGCGATCCATCGACGAAACCTAACTTGTTCTTCACAGTGAGTGCAATCAGCATAGACCGACTCCATGAGGTATAATTGTTCTCATTTAAAAGATCAGAAACAAGAACAAGACTGGTATTATCCGAGTGATGAAGATAATATGGATTGGAATAATTCTCAAGAACAGAAATRCCGTCACCGRCATTTGTAGACGAAGAATTTCCTGCATCTGTCGAAGAAGTATCAAGCGGAGGAACAATGGTTTCGTCAACCATGGCGGTGGGAAGTGGAACCTCTCA